GTCAGCTCCTTTGTAAAAGAGCACTACTTAGTCCAGGACATGACACAATGCTGAAAAATGGAAAATCCTTTTTGAAAATGTGAGAGACTGATCTCTGCTCACTAGCTATTCTCATTGCATTAGCTGTGCTGTGTAGCATGTCTTGCAAGTAACACTTGGTCGGTTACCCCACATATAACAAGCAAAGCAAAATACTCCAGGTTAGTTTTACTCCTTCTAGGGACCCTTCCATTTCAGATGCAAGGGGATGAAGCATCATACCATAAACTCATACTATGTAAAAACATAGTTGCATGGCTACGGATCTTGGCTTCTTGGCCATTCTCTCTYTTCTGACCCAGAAGTATGGGGCAAAGAGGATGAAAAAGCCAGGATGTAGTGGTAGAGCACCCACAGGTCTTACCAGCTCCACCAGCTAATTTGGTGGAGTGCAGCAAGTCACACCATTGGCCAGTCTTGTTTTTCACACTTGGGATGGGGTCCATAAGCCAGATTTCTAAAGAATAAGCCACAAATAGCACCTATCTGTTATCTACATGCTATTTTCAGCAGTGCTTAGATGTTAAAAGTTAACAACAACAACAAATATATACATATATATTCTTGTGTCCTGAGCTGGTAATCTTTGGTCTCTAATAAAGGATAAGTTTGTATTGTCTTCCCCCTTTGAGTGCAGACATGAAGATCATACTGTTCTACCTGGTGATTGATGAAAGAGGTCAAAATACACTTTTTTCAAGGCTTCTGCTTCTGAAATTTTCTGGAAAGTAATGAGGAGGTTTAGAAATTATCATAAAGAAAGACAAGCGACTGTTCAGTCTGATCATATAAGCCCTGCATCCAAAAAAAAGCAGGAGAAACCCATTTCACTGTTGCACAATTCCCTACTTATTCTTAAGGAGAATCCTAGCAATGATTTTTGGAGTTTTTCCTGCTTAAGAAATGCGTGGGTGCATTGAGGGGTGGTGGAAATAACCCCTCAATCATGGCATGAGGGATGTAATTGCCACATGGAATAAGTGCAGCAGACGGGAAGTGATTGCTCTCATGCATTTCGATGCAGTCTGCTGCCTCAAAGATTTTACGTTCTGCCAGCGAGGAAAGTGGGATGGGATTTGGAAAGCTATTTAAGCACCTAAGCATGCAGAGAAATGCCCAGTGGGATTTTCAAGTCTTTGTCTCTGCCTTTGGAAAAAAAAAACACTAAACCTTCCTTAGTATTTCTCAGGCTCAGAAAGCCAGTGGAAATCTGGCTTCTGTTGCTTGCAAAAAAAAAAAGACAAAGAGGGAGCAGCCAGCAAAAAAATTACGTTGCCCCAGGCAGTGAGGTTAAGCAGGAATGATTTAGAAGATGACAAAAATATTTCACTATCTGCAGGTTAGGGAGATTATATGGAAGCTGGGTGAAGGAAGTGTTACCTACTGCTGTCTCTGTCCTCAGACTCTGCTGAGGACTACAAGGGTGGAGGGTGCAGGGGAGCATCCTCCTCCCACCAGAGAGCAGATACAAAATAAAGTTCATTCCACACAGGCAGACCCTGCACAGCTGCATTGATAAACACAGATGGACTCCATGAGGCCTCAAGTCAGCAGCACCTCAGTGAGAACCTTAGTGGAAACGCTAAGTCCTGCATGGAGCAGAAGTAGCCTCAGCAGGAAGCACATTACTTTTTTGTAGCATGGAGAAAATCATGTTTTCAGTTCATAAAGAGCATCTGGGAAACCTTCTGACATCCATCCTTGTGCACTTCTTTCACTCCAAGACATGGACATATGCAGCATCAGTGCATTGCCAGGTGCTGTGAGGTTTGAGCTGAGAACACCTGCTCCTTTGGATTGCTGCGCACTGCAAATCTATCTTCTGCAAATCATGTCTAGAGTTGTAAATGCATTTCACTTGTAAAAAAGCCCTGTTTTCTAAAAAGTTTGCTAATAACACTAAATTCTGTCAAAAAAGCATCCAGCCAGTGCTGATGCCTTTACAGTTCCTGTTCTTGTATTTTTTCTCCAAAATATACATTTTTTTGTGTAGACCTACCCATGAGACTTCTTAAAGACTACAATTTTTATATAGAAAAGTAGCAGCAAAAAGGCTTGAATGCAAGTGCCAAGCTTTGTTCTTTAGTTATAGCTCTGACGTGTAAGACTACCCTTCTGTATTAATGGGGGATCTCAAATATTATTCAGTAATTCAAGTTAAAAGATCTATATAAATAGAAATCACATGCTAATAGGACATAACATTTTACTATCTCACATATAAAAGATCATCCTGAATGCTGCCTCGTTTCATCCAGTCTCTCACCTTGTTTTCCGAAAGAGGAAATGAAATACTAAGAACTGTCTTAATCCATCATTATACCTGTCAGTTATAGAAATGTCCATTAAGATTTTGCTATAGAGCAAGGCATTACCAAGACATGTCACTGTGAGAGGCCAGCATAAAATACAGTGGGAGGCCAACATCAAATACTACTAATGCAGGTTGTCATTTCTTAGGTCTAGCTGACCTTCATTATGGTTAGTTATGCAATTACGTTTTCCTGGATGCTGTTTCTTCATAACCCTTTAAATACTCTCAGGTTGATAACTCTAAAGTATGACTGTTAGTATTAGCCTTGCTAGGTATAGGATTTTGTTTAATTTTAGGTATTTCTCAGCCATACAAAGTTTTGATCTTCATGTGAGCTGACTAGCTTCTTCCACTGAAATGATCTTCCACTGGAAAATGCCAATTTGTTGATTGTGGGGCTTTGCAGAAGTACTGGTTTCAGTGAAGCCTCATGGTTTCTCAAAGCCGTGATGGACCTGCCAGAGGGGAAGACATCCAGCAAAGAGATCTCTGGGAACTGGGGAATCAAACAGACTAAGATCTGCTGGACCAGGCTGAGTAAGGGTTTGACCGTCTTTCTGTACAAGGTTTGAGAAGGGACTTCTCAGCTTACTGACAGGTACAGAAGGCTTTGACATTCCTAAGGGAATGTGAGGAAGAAATGTGAGGAAAGGAGTGTGTAGGGGTGGGATGATGATGATGTAGGGGTGGGATGATGATAATCTTTTCGGTGGGGAGAAGGGAAAAGATTTCTACTTCCAAAGCAAAAACAGAAATAGAAGTCAAAGCTCCTCAAAAACTCAGTCCTTTTTCTGCCCTGTATCTAACAAAAGTATACCTTAATGAATCCAAGGGGACAATTAACAAAGATTTATTTACTGTCTAGCAAATGGATAAAAGCAAAGCACCTGTCTGACCTTTTTGCTGATGGCTTCTTGTTTTAAGGAGTTCAGCACTTCCCCATCATTATGCTAAACCAATCCAACATGTATATTTCAATATATTTTTTTCAATAACCAAATCCTTCAGCACAATATGATGGTCTCTTCTTGGCCTTCATGTGATCTTTGCCACCTTTGATATGCTGCTCGTGAAGAAGTTTCTGGGATCAGTCAACATAGTGTGTCTCAGCATATTTGGCTTCTCAGCCATGATGGTTTTTAGTACTTTATTATGCTGTTTGTTTTCCTTTGAGTGGAGTGGCCTGTTTTTACCATCCAGATAAAACTAGCTAGCCATCTCCAGGCCTCTTGAAGGAATATGACCACAAGAAATTGATTAATGCACTATTTTCCCCAACACAAAGCCAACACAAGCATTGTGTCAATACCGCTAGGCTCAGTACTCTTCTTTAGCTGAAGCATCAATAAAAGATCCTGCCTAGCCCAAGTGTGCAAAAGGCATGGCCATTAAAGCTGCTGACAAATCTCTCTCCTTGAGGGACTAAGCTGCAGAATGCCAAAGCACATGTGCTTCCCACCTGGTTTTTCATTTGTTACTGCCATTATTATCAGAAAAAAATTCCTTGACCTAAACTTGAGAAATAAAGAGCACTCAGACAAGGAAATTTGTTATTTTTCCACTGGATAAATTTCTGTTGTCTCAGAGGCTTGAAAGTTCATTGAAAGACACTTCACTGATAGTAAAAAAAAATAATAAATAAGGTAGTGCCCTACCTCTTTTCTTTGATATTAAAGACTAGCATTCTGATCTAAAGTGCCTGGTCTGGCTTGACAAATAAGTGCCTCAGAGCAGGCAGATTAGAAAGGCAAGCTGGAAAGTTAATGACTTGGGGTCTGTGGAGCACACACTGTAGCTTCCAATAGGCCTTGCCACCATCAGTAAATAGAAACATAAGTGAACATTTCCGTGTAGCCGCTGAGGAGACTATTAGATGAGACTCCTTTTGTGTCATGTTATGTTATCTGCCATGCTGAGAAAGAAACTCAGTAATTACTCTGCAGGCACTTGTGAAGACATACTTGTCGAAACAAATGATGAGGCATTAGGTGGTTGTTAGGCAGAGGCTAGAGACCAGCAAGCTCTTCTTAGGAAGGAAACAAACCAAAGCACTATCACTTCTCTGGCAAAAAAAAAAAAAAAAAAAAAAAAAAAAAAAAAAAAGGCCATATTAAAATTGCACCAGGGGAACAAACTGAGCATTTTTTCATAGAGAAAGGTTTTCCTGTAAAACAAATCCACTTCTGAGGAAGAGAAATATTATCTCTTTTTGCTTCTAGAAGGATATTAACCAGTTTTATTTTCCAGATCATCAGCTTGGGAAATAACAATTTGTTTTTTCCCAATGGGAAACATAAGCATTTAATATAGAAAAGTGGTTTCCAATAGAAAATCATGCCCACAGAAAATCCCTGGCCAGACACTGCACAAGGTGACATGGAACCTGACTACTGCCAAGCAAAACCTAAAATATCCTATAGTTTTTTCCGTTTGTAAAATATCTCACAAAACAAGCACCATTACCATGGAAATACATCAAGTGGGGTAAAAAAATTGCACGTCACCCTGCCTCCTACCACCCCGGGAGAGTGTTTGTCCCATGTTTGGATCTTATCTTGAGTCTTGGTGAGCTTTCCTTGCTGTTGTGAAGTCATAGACACTGCTTGGATGTAAAACTTTGAATTAGCAGGAGGTGTTTTTGCATTACCTCATGGGACAGGTAAAAGGCAGCAATTCCCAGTGGCCAGAAGCAGCAGAGCATGGAGAATACGGTGAGGCCAAGATGGTCTCTTGGTGGCATCATCAGGAAATTGTCTTCGCTCTCAGTATCACTTGAGTAATCACTCTGGAAAAACAAGGGAGAGAGAGGTGTGAATGGCTGATTGATTATATCATTACTACTTCTCTGTCATGGGGACACGTACGTGCATAAAATTCTCCCCAGTCCTCCCATGGCATTTCTTTCACGAAGAGCCCAGCTTTCCTCCAGTGGAAGGAAAAGGTGGAAAGTCTTTCCATCTACAGTGGAAGACTTGGGGTGCCTTTTTTGTGAGGACCTCATCCTGAGGTCTCTAAGATTTGAACTGCAGGTGCCCTGTCAACATCAGTGCTTGGGGAACCACTCCCAGTTTAGTGCTGGGAAAGTCCTGCAGACATATGAAAATTTCCTAATAGTTCCTTATGTTTCATGAATGAGAGAAAACAAGTCTGTCTATGTGAAGTGGAGCACCTGAAGCATAATGTCACCTATCTAATGCAGCAGGAGGTGTAGAAGTTGTGTGGTCTGCATCTCCTGGGCGAAAAATAGCCTCCTGGTATTGGTATCTAGGTTTATTCCTCCCTAGGTGCAGGACTCTGCACTTGCCTTTTTTGAAATTCCTGAGGTTCCTCTCTACCAAACTCCCAGGTCACCCAAGTCTTGATGCCATGGTAGAAGTGACAAAGCTACATTTGGCATAAATTCAATAAAATCCTGCCACTCAAGAGACATATCCTGAGGCTGTTGTACACTTTTTGAGCTTAGTGATGTACCTTTCTGCTTTAATTTTCAGACCTGGTTACTTAAGTCATCATTAAAACCAATGAGCTTTCCTTTCAAGAGTAAAAGAAGAGAGAGTGGGGTGGGAAAAGTCACAGCGTTTCTGAAATTGTCTCTCTGAACAATGCCCTTTGCTGAATTTCATGAAAGGGAAGAGACAATAGAAAAAGCTTTTGATTATCCAGTTTTTGGCTGATTTTGTGTCTATGGAGACTACCTGTCTGATATTTCAAACAATCTTTTCTTTTAGATGAAGATGAAACAGAGCAAAGATTTCCAGATAACATTGATCAAGTGATAAACCAGAAAATTACCAGTTATGCTGCTTTCTAAAGGGATTAAACACTCTCAAGGTGGTGGAATCATGACATTTTTGAGAGTTTCCACTTAGAGAGGAGAGGCGCTTATTAGATTGCAAGAGAATAATAGCAGAGGTTTTCCTGATTATGTCAACATAAAAACTCTTACCAGGAAATATTAAGTCACCATAGTTATAGACTAATTCAATAGTAGATTCACGCTGTGAATCCAATTTCAATGGTTGAAGTCCGCATAGGAATAGGAGGTAAAGGTACATAATGGAGCAGATGACCTGACTGTCAGTCACCAAGAGTGACAGAATAATTTTCATCAGAAAGCTCTCTGAGCGTTCTAGCCAAGAAAGAAACCAGAAGAGCCTAAAAAAAAAAAAAAAATCATAAATCTCAAATCAAATGAGATTTATGTGCTTCTTTCTCTCAGCCAAAAATCCATTCCTTCAATCAAAACTCCCTCCCTAATATTCCTTTTTATTACAACATTCTCCCTGCTATGCTCAAGCCTGAACTTTTCATAATTACTTCACAATTTCAGTAATCTGACTGAAAGCTTCTAACCATTGCAAAATAATCTAGAGAATAACATGGCTAATAATTTTCAAGGGTCAGGTGCTGAGCAAAATTATATAGACAAGTCTGTTTTTTCTTTTTTCTTTGGATTGGAGGAGTTTAAGCAGTCCGAAATATCAAACTGTAATTTTTTCCTGATAGAGATGTACCACCAAATGCATTTCACAGCTAAAAGATAGGTGGTCAAAACAAACACAGGTATCCAGAAGGGATNAAAAAAAAAAAAAAAAAAAAAAAAAAAAAAAAAAAAAAAAAAAAAAAAAAAAAAAAAAAAAAAGAGCATTCCTTTCTTGGCTGTGACTTTTTATTCAGAATAGAGCAAAGGCCCCTAATATTTACTCTACTAGTGATTCCAATTAGTCAGGACCTTTATCACTGAGGTGATAAAGTCATGACTAAGTTACCCTGTCTGAAAGAGCTCTTTTATCCTATCCATCATGAAACATTTTTTCTTGTGAGGCTAGGAAAATCTTAGGATGGAAACAAGGCCAATGCAGACAAAATACATCCTAATGAAGCAGTAACCAAATACGGGACAAGAGACWTCAGGAGATAAAGAACAGCAGCAGCAGCTGAGAATTTTTTCAGGATGTTGAGAGACTGAGTTCTTTGCAGATGGGACATCTGATCCCAAAGACTTATGCTGCTATTTATGCAACCACTTCTAACCACAACAGAATCACAGAATCACAGAATGGTTAAGGTTGGAAGGGACCTCTTTGGAGATCATCTACTCCAACCTTCCTGCTCAAGCAGGGACAGGGTGGCATCCAGGTGGGTTTTGAAGACCTCCAGAGAAGGAGACTCCACAACCTCCCTGGGCAGCCTGTGCTGGGGCTCTGTCACTCTCACACTAAAGAAGTTCTTCCTCATATGGAGATGAAACTTCCTGTATTTCAACTTACACCCATTTCCCCTTGTCTTGTCACTGGCCACCACTGAGAAGAGCTTGGCCCCTTCCTCCCTACATTCACCCTTCAGGTATTTACACATATTGATCATATCCCCTGTCAACCTTCTCTTCTTAAGTCTAAACAAGCCCTGCTCACTTTCCTCATATGAGAGATGCTCCATTCCCTTAATCATCTTGGTTGCACTCCACTGGACCCTCTCTAGAAGCTCCACATCCCTCTTGTCCTGGGGAGCCCAGAACCGTACCCAATACTCCAGATGTGGCCTCAGTAGAGCTGAGTAGAGGGGCAGGATCCCCTCCCTCAACCTGCTGGCAACATCATCCTGATGCAGCCAGGATCCCATTGGCCTTCTTGGCCACGAGGGCACACTACTGACTCATGGTCAACTTGTTGTCAATCAGGACTCCCAACTCGCAGAACTGCTTTCCAGCAGGTCAATCCCTAATTTGCAATGGTGGCTGGGATTATTCCTCCCCAGATGCAGGACCCTGAAGTTGTCCTTGTTGAATTGCATGAGGTTCCTCTCTGCCCAACTCTCCAGCTTGTCCAGGTCCCTCTGAATGGCAGCACAGCCCTCCGGAGTGTCAGCCACTCCACCCAGCTTGGTATCATCCACAAACTTGCCCAGGATGCACTGTGTCCCTTTGTCTAAGTTGAACAGCACTGGGCTCAGTACTGAACCCCAGGGGATACCACTGGTCACAAGCCTCCAATTCCACCAGTGGAATTGGACTGGGCCCCATTTATCACCACACTCTGAGCTCTGCCATCCAGCCAGTTCTCAATCTACCTCACTGTGCACTCATCCAATCCACACTTCCAGAGTCCTCCAATGATGTTAGGGGAGATGGTGTTGAAAGCCTTGCTGAGACCAAGGTAGACAACATCCACGGCTCTCCCCTCATACGTCCAGCCCAGTGTCCCATTGTAGAAGACTATCAGGTTGGTCAAACATGACTTCCTTTGGGTGAATCCATTCTAACTATTCTTGATCACCTTTTCCTTCACATGCCTACAGATGCTCTGTAGGATGAGCTGTTCCATCATCTTTCCAGGGACAGAGGTGAGGCTGAGCAGCCTGTAGTTTCCTGGCTCCTTCCTCTTGCTCTTTTTGAAGACTAGAGTGTCGTTGGTTTCTTCCAGACCTCTGGCACCTCCCCTGCCTTTCAAAGATGATGGAGGGCAGCTGAGCAATAGCCCCTGCTATTTCCCTAAGCACTCTTGAGTGCACCCCATCTGGGCTCACAGATTTATGGGTGTCCAGTTTGCCTAAATAAGCCCTAACCCAGTCCTCCTCAACCACTGGAAAGCCTTCCCCTCTCCTGGTTCTCTCTCTTTTATCTGGGCTCTGTAGTTCATGGGGGCTAACCTTAGCAGTAAAGACAGAAGCAAAGAAGGCATTTAGTAACTCTGCCTTCTCTGCATCCTGTCACCAAGGCACCCTCCCCATTCCTAACTGTGATTATCCCAGTAGCTGTCTGGGTGTTTGAAGTCCCCCATTAGGAACAAGGCCTGTGATTGGGAGGCTTCTTGCAGCTGCCTGTAGAAGGCCTCATCCAGTTCTTCTTCCTGGTCAGGACGTCTGTAGTAAACTCCCATGACAGTGTCACCCCTGTTGGCCTTCACTTTAATCTTTACCCATAGGCTCTTGCCTCACACTTTGTCCTCTCCTGTGCTGAGCTCCATACATTCCAGTTGCTTTCTCACGTAAAGAGCAACTCTGTCACCTCGCCTTCCTGGCCTGTCCCTCCTGAAAACCTAAAGCCCTCCATGGCTACATTCCAGTCATGAGAGCTGTCCAACCATTTCTCAATAATTGCAATGAGATCATGGTCCTGCACGCATCTCCAGTTCCCCTTGTTTATTCCCCATGCTGCATGGGTTTACACAGGGGTATTTGAGTTGGGCTGCCATTGTGCCTCTCATTCTGTCTGGGGCAGCTGCAACTTGACTATGTGGCCTTCAGAACTTCTCATATTTTGTCATTTAGCCTCTTCAGTCTTAGGGCGCCCTTCACAGAGCATGGCATTAGGCTGCTGTGAATGGCATGACAGGCCATTGGCTACCATCTCATCTGCTTCACCGATGATACTCCCCTTCCCCCTCAAATCTAGTTTAGAGCCCTCTTGACGAGCCCTGCTAGCTCATGACCCAGGGCTCTCCTCTCCTCTCCCTTTGAGAAAGATGGATCCCATTAGATGTCATCATGCCTGATGACATATAAGGCTTCCTGTTACTGAAGAAAACAAAGTTGTGGCGATGACACCAGCCACGGAGCCATATAATGGTGGACTGTGTTCTGCTATTTCTTTCTATATTGCTGCCAGCACTGGGAAGAATGGAAGAGAAAATGGGCTGTACGCCTGTGTTCCTGATTGTCTGCCCCAGTTCTCTAAAGTCCCTTTTGATTGCCCTGAGGCTTCGCGTTGCTGCTTCCTCTCCTCCCACAGGTAGGACCATCAATGGATAATAATCTGCAGGTTGAACCAGGCTGGGAACAACACAC